CGGGCACCACACTACCCAATATTGAACTGAGTCCAAGCGAACACTTCGCTCTACAATATTGCACCGAATCACTGAGCACCGCACTAGTCAATATTGAATCACTGAGCACCGCACAGGACGTATAACGTCACAATCGTCACACACAGGGGGAATTATTTACAGGGATTACGCCACTTCACCACCCCTGTCAAACATACTTAACAAGGGGACGGATCCCGCTGGGGATGCCAATTATGTTACGGCCCTCTCGGGACGCAACGGGGTTCTCACTCTGATGTTGTTAGAGGAAGATATATGTATCCGTTCCCAAGCCAGTAGTGGCTATCAAGGGATGAGATCCGTGACGCAAGTAACTTAAAGGGAGTAGGGAAAGAAAGCTAAGAACTTAATATAATATAATGTTCACCATCACCGTTTAAATATATAGAATAAAAGAGTACACAAGGGGGAGGGGTATTAACACTTTACAAGGGGATCGTGCACAATCTAGTCTTCTGCTGAAGACTCTTGATCAAGAAGCTAGGTGCTGAGTCCGCGGTGCTTTCTTCGTGGCCTCAAGACGTGTCCTCTGAGAACGCCGAGCCTACCCTGGCCACAGGTCAGCCACAACACAGGTCCACTGGGGGCACCGTCGTGGAGGCCGTCAACCACACGTCCAGCAGGTCTGCTGGCAGGTACTGAGCCACCAAGGCTGGTACGGCCACTCCACGAACGATAAAAGGGGTACGCCCTAGACAGGAGTCTCGTGTGATATCACCAATCACCCTCCTGTCCTCAATACCCCAGTGGATTATCGTCTCCAACCGTCGGTCCCGGGTAAATCCTTTCACTGCCACTCCACTGGCAGGCTTAACACACCACAGTGTTCTTCCGGGGGGACGACGTCACAACAGCTGCAGCAAACTTCACAGTATGGAGACTGGCTGCCTCGGGTAGACTGACTCAACCTTCAACACAGTGGTCCCAGGTCGGCTCTGTAAGCAGACCCGTCATCAATAACTGGGACACTAATACACCACACTCACAGGCTCAGATACTAACACCTGACGTATCCAGTCCATAGATGGCGCTGTCGTCGGAGCACCACCTCACCAGAGGTCAGGAGCGGCGGTGTCGAGCGCTGAACCAGACTGGAAACTGGTCCTCGAGGCCAGTACACGCTGTCCTCACTAGGTGTCGTCGTTCGTTTGGCGGGGGTTTCGGGAGCTGACCCACAGATGGCGTGTTTGTCACTGCTCCAGGCTCGGACGCTGGATCCGGGTTCGTAACAATACCAATCAGCAAGGCAACCATATTATGCAAGCAAGTTCATAATATTATTAAATACTCACCTACATACTAATCAAATGAATAAACCAGGGTGTATATGTCCCATCGAAAAATAAATATATTGTAATTATTCATAAAAAGCTGAGGTTGTGATAAGGTACCCAAAAAAAATATAAATTTAACATCATTCACACAAAATGCAACACTTACACTTGCACTAAAAATACACGAAATCAAAAACACAGTATATACATAGGGTATGGAAAACATAGACACATAAAAACATAGACACACTTACATTCAATATAGCATCTACGCACAAAGTATTTCCACACTAGATTACATTTACACAAAAAATACAGCATTTACACACCTAATATGCTATTTATGCACAAAATATATTATTTACACACAAAATATGCCATTCACACATAAAATATGTCATTTATAGAGAAAAGATGTCATTTACACACAAAATATGTTAGTTGCAAACAAAATATACCATTTACACGAATATTGCATGTACAGTCAAAGTATTGCATGTATTGCAAAGTATTGCATGTATTCCATTTACCCAAAATATTGTATTTGCACAAATATTGCATATTGCTTATACATTTAGACAATCAAAATACGCTCTCACTAAAATTTCACAATTTCATAAACATAATTTTCACAAAATACCCACACATTGTCTCATAAATCAAAAATACACTTTCACACTTACACATGATGATCTATTTTTTTCAGATTACATATACAGAACTTACACAAACGCACAATTTGCACACAAAAATACAGTTGCACCAGTTCTACTTCAACAAATTAGAAACTCAAGTTGCATAAAATGCACTATTCGCACAAACGATTATAAAACTCTGACAATTATTACGCAAACTGTGTAATTATTACACATCTTTGCAAGTTTAATACAAGCAAACTTGCTATATAATTTTTTTCCAGATTACATATACAGAACTTAGACAAATGCACAATTTGCACACACAAATACAGTTGCACCAGTTCTACTTCAGCAAATTAAAAACACAACTTACATAAAATGCATTATTCACACAAACGATTATAAAACATGGACAATTATTACACAAACTGTGTAATTATTACACATCTTTGCACGATTAAAACAAGCAAACTTGCTATATAATTACGTAACTTGTGCAATGACAATCAATACACAACAGGTGTAAATACACAATTCGTGCATATGCAATTACACAACATGCGCAATTAATACGCAACTTGTACACATATTAAACATCTTTAGTAATTATTATTATTACACAACTTGCATAAAATACAATCAAATACATATCCAGTACAAAATACATACAATACATAACTAGCCCAAATATGTAAATACACAACTAGAACAAATACAATTCACACAAATACAATCACAACATTAATACACAACTTGCACAAAATATAATCAATACACAACTAGCCCCAATGTGAACAATACATAACTAGCGCATATACATTAAATTCACAACTACATAACTCCACAAATACACATACAAAACATATACAATTAATAAACATAACTTGCACAAACAATACTCAATTTATAGGAAATATAATCAATGCATAATTGCAATAATCATACAACTTATGCAAAATACTTAATCTGCACAATTAATATACACAACTTGCACAACTATAATAATTGTGCTATATGTACAAAACTATCACAGCCAACTAGGTCAAACAATACACAATTTGCATAATATCTGCCTAGGTGTGATTAATAGGTCATTTATACTATGCTGGGTTTGACCAACTCCCCAAAAGTCAGAATTTCACATGAAAGAATGGTACATCTGACTTCCTATGAGCTCAATATAAAACACATTTACCATAAATGTTTCACCATTATTAGTACTAAACTATTCATCTAACATATGTCCATTGTTTTTAATGTCTTATTAATTCCCACCTCGTTACATCCTCTCCAATCATGCCACCTATATTTATTAATGCAAACCAACTAACAGACTTATTTGTTCTAGCCTTAGTTATGTTAGGGCAGGTGGGGTTGGGTGAAGTCAGTAATTTATTTGACATTTTATGCCAATTTATTACATCCCATCAAAAATGCATCCTATTAAATCCTAAATTCACCTAAATGTATCAAAAAATTATACTTATACTGCACAAATTTAACCAAATTCAACCAAGCAATAGCTAAACTAAGTAAATATAACCATCCCATATCCTCACATACAAGCCTATGTCACCTCTGTCCATTCATTACATGAGTTAGCTATAGCTTCAATCTCCCAAAATATGAAAATATACACAATTTTTGAACATGCTAGTTCATTAGCCCTAAGATATTATATATCCTATCCTACACAACCTCACCTAACATATCCAAAGCTAGATTTGATTAAAGTTGGCAAAATTTATGCTGTCCCACCTAAATTCTACCTAATTAATGGCAATTTACACCATGGTACATCTGGTGTACTAAGGAGGAGCTGGTACATCTGGTACACCATGGTACATCTGGTACAAAGAGGGAGCCGGTCGGCCGATGCGGACAGCACGCGGGACTTGTGATCCTGTGGTCCTGGATTCGATCCCAGGCGCCGGCGAGAAACAATGGGCAGAGTTTCTTTCACCCTATGCCCCTGTTACCTAGCAGTAAAATAGGTACCTGGGTTTTAGTCAGCTGTCACGGGCTGCTTCCTGGGGGTGGAGGCCTGGTCGAGGACCGGCCGCGGGGACACTAAAGCCCCGAAATCATCTCAAGATAACCATATATAACCCAAATGTTTTGTATCTTAGCATAGCCAAAGTCAATTTTACCCCAAGTTTTTCACGTATTCCATCCTACCCTACACGTTATTACCTAACCTAACCTAGCATATCCAATGCTAGATTTGAATAAAGGTTGGTAAAATTTGTGCTTATCCACCTAAATTCAACCTAATTTAAAAAAATTCTACCATATATACCCAATATGTTTTGTATCATAGCACAGCCAAAGCCCATTTACCCAATTTTTTCACATATTCCAACCTACCCTACACAACCTTACCTAACCTGACTGATTCAAAGCTAGATTTTATTAAAGTTTGGGAAAGTTAAGCTATCCCTACCAAATTTGAGACAATTTCCACCAAGTATACCCAAATGTTGTGTATCATAACGCAGCCAAAGCCCATTTTACCTACTTTTTCACCCATTCCATCTAAACTTCCAATATCCGACATCCAGTCTTGGCACAACATCTCCCATTCCCAGGACTATTTCATAGAGATAATGCTGTGTCCGTCTGGCCATTTCCAGTTTCCACACTAGTTTTCATCATTAATCCTACCAAACCAAACCTAACCTAACCTATCCTAACACAACATTTAGAAAATTATCCGAAATACTCCAATTTGTATGAATTCCACTAAATTTATCCTAATTATATCAAACCAAAATTCCCCAAATTTTACTAAATATACCTATGCACATCACATTCAGAGCATGAGTTAACTGTTAGAGCTGTTATTGTCTACTTCCAACTTTTTTTCAAGTTTTCCCCGTCGTGCACTAATACAATAACCAAGAGATAACATTAACTTTATTATATTATACAAATGGTCCCCTTACAGGAGAAAGTAAATAATATTTCCTACAGGAATATATATTGTAAATGGTGGACAATAAAAACAATATCCTCGCCCCAAAACGACATCTGAGAAGAACAAACTTACCTTCCCAGAGATCATTGTCTCTGTCGATGGTGGAGAACTTCATTCCACTGTGGTTGTCGTTCCGTACAAGGACGTCCCCCATGGTACTGTCTTCCTGGTACCAGTCCACTAGCAGCTGGTACCTGGTCCAAGGTATGAGATGATGAGGGGTACCAGGCAAAACACAGTTAGAGGTGCAGGTACCAGGTCCATGAAAGGAGATGAGAGAGGTACCAAAGAACACATAGTTAGAGGAGCAGCTACCTTGTCCGTGATAGGAGATGAGACCAGGCAATACGCAGTTAGAGGTGCAGGTACCTGGTCCATGGAAGGAGATGAGGAGAGGTACCAGGCAACACATAGAGGTGCAGGTACCTGGTCGATGGTAGCAGATAAGAAAGGTACCAGGCAAAACATAGATAGAGGTGCAGGTACCTGGTCCATGGTAGGAGATGAAAGAGGTACCAGGGACCCCATAGTTAAAGGTGCAGGTACCTGGTCCTTGTTAGGAGATGAGAGAGGTACCAGATAACACATAAGTAGTAGTGCAGGAACCTAGTCCATGTAACGAGATGAGAAAGAAAACAGATATCCCATAGTTAGTGATGCAGGTACCTGGTCCATGGTAAGAGATGAGAGAGATACCAGAAAACACACATCTACAGGTACAGTTACCTGGTTCACATTAGGAGATGAGAAAGGTACCATACAACACATAGACGTGCACTTACCTGGTCCTGGGAGGAGATGAGAGAGGTACCAGGCAACACATAGTTAGAGGTGCAGGTACCTGGTAGATGGTAGAAGATGAGAGAGGTACCAGACAACACACAGTTAGAGGTGCAGATACCTGGCCCCAGGTTGGAGATGAGAGAGGTATAAGGCAACACATAGAGGTGCAGGTACCTAGTCCATGGCATGAGATGAGAGAGGTACCAGACATCAGAGAGATAGAGATGCAGGTACCTGGTCCATAGTAGGAGATGAGAGAGGTACCAGGCAACACATAGTTAGAGGTGCAGGTACCTGGTCCATGGTAGGAGATGAGAGGTACCAGGAAACACACAGTTAGAGGTGCAGGTACCTGGTCCATGGAAAGAGTTGAGATAGAAACCAGGCAACGCATAGTTTGAGGTGCGGATACCTGGAACATGGAAGGAAATGAGAGACGTACCAGGCAACAAATAGAGGTGCAGGTACCTGGTTCATTTTAGGAGATGAAAGAGGTACCAGGCAACACACACTTAGAGGTGCAGGTACCTGGTCCATGGTAGGAGATGAAAGAAGTACCAGGCATCACATAGTAAGAGATGAAGGTACCTTGTTGGATTATCTGGGGCTTGAACTTATATATTAAATTATTTGATTATTATATTTAAATAAATCGAAGGACCACCGACTTTTGAGAAAAGAGGGAAAACGAATAATGGTGATTACTAGATTGACACTAGAGAACGAGTGCCTATGGGTAATAATTAAATGAATAATCACTTGAAAATAATGAATAGACTGTATTATTAATTAATTAAAGTCAAAGCCTCAAATATCAACATTGGGGGGGGGGGGTATTTCTAGAAGTTCATATATATCTAGGAACCAGTGTGGTTCGTCACTAGCTCATTGTTGAGTTAGTAACCTAGTAAATCTAAACTAAAATAGATTAAAAAATATGATACCTCAAATAATGAATATTAAAGATTATGAATTATTGAGCAACAGTAAGAGCAAACACATTAATTACCAAATCATAAATTCTGGCAATAAATTATTCACTGTAAAGATCCTATATGAATTATATGGAAATCAGTAATAATCGTAGCTAAATATATACGAAATAGGTGTCTTAGCTGTAAGACGACTTCTGTAACTCCATTTCGTCATTCGTCCTCGTGGTCACAGGATCCCAATAAAGAAAGAACCCGAAGTGAATATCACGAATGAAGAGAAACAACTTGTCGACTCCTCGTATACACGCTGCAATCAGGGAAATTTAAGTAGCATTTGATTAGGCTACGAGTTATTTCAAGTATTCATTAAAATTGAAATAAATGAAGAAAATCAACTAACGTTGTGTATTTGGTATTCATTCATCGTCACGACTGACTACCCACAAATATACAATCTAGAATGATGCATCAAACGAGAATGGTATACTTAACATGAGCGTATCAAATACCAAGGTCTGCCGAAATCGTGTCAGCCAGTCCCAGGCGTCCACTGCTGTGCACGTGTAATTACGGGCCGTGGCTTCAATTGTTGACTCGTTATTAACTGGCAAGGCACTGTAGAACACGTGAATAAGTAATTGTTGACTATTGGTTGAGTTGCAACGTAATTCTTGTTGGAAAACTCTTCAGTCACTACCACGCGTCTCGCCACTCTTGTCGCCAGGAATGCCTCGTGTCCCATGGCGTCTCCGCCCTCCCTCAACCCGTCTCTCGCATTCACCACAGAAATTACTAATCACGGATAATTCTTTTCCGCGTAATTACTGATGTAATACGCTAATGAGAACTGGGTTGCAATTATAGGGAATTAAATAATATCATATTCTCGTTAAATGATGTTAAACGAGAAATGGAGAGGATGTTTATTCCCTCCATAGCATTCGTACGTAACAGATGAAACTGCTACTAGATAATAATTTCAGTTAATAACTTTCGGTTTTGGATTATTGGGAGTCATATTATCCGTAGTTAATTATTACATTGAATACTGATAATTTTAGAGAACCACATTCAATTCTCTAACATATTGGTAATAAACGTGTCTAGATAGACATTATCTGACGCAATTTTGTTACTCGATGTCGTGAGAATTCTAGCACTAATGCGCAGATAACGAGGTGGCGGATGACTTGGCGAAACGTGCCACATCAAAACCACAAGTTGACATTGAATGTGAATTCACAATGAGACAAATAAGAAGCAAAATCAGAAATATTCAGGCACAGGCAGGAGTGGAGAGGAGAGAGATAATGTATGAGAGAAGTCAAACCATGCAACACTACATGTATGTGAGTCAAAACACCCATTTCACTTATGGTAAAAGGAGAAATGCTTGGAGTGACTCTGTGTACATGCGGCTCAGGCTTGAGTACAAATATTACTGGGAATATGGGATAGATGTTCATGATAATGACACGAGGTGTAAACTATGTAGTATGTTAAGGTCTCACACCCTTGCCCATTATGTTCTTGATTGTCCGTTGATTAATGTATATAGAAACACTGAGATAAGGACTGTTCCTGAACAAATAGCCTGGATGTGTCACAACGGAAAGGTTGATGATATTCTTGAGAGATATAAGAATTTTGCACCAAGACTGTAATATTTTGTTGAATTATCTGCATGTCTCTTGCAAATTGTCTATACAGTATACCTAGGTCATAAAAGTATTTGTGTGTACGTCTGATACCATACTACTTGTGAAGGAGGAAATGTATATGTTTATCTCTCAGAATGTTTGGTAATATGTTTATTGTTAGTGATGTGTGTCTATGTATGTATTAACACATTGTACTGAATGGGGTGAGAATAGCTTGAGCTACCTCATCCCTTTGTGTGTATTTTACCTCAATAAACTTATTTCAATTTCAATTTCAATGCGCAGATAAATATTGTTAATTTATGTTGACACTACCATTAGTGAAATTAATAACTACTGTAGTTAGTATATAATAATGATGATGTATTATAATACAATGGTAGTTCGTTAGTGTTGGAAATTTCCAACATAACTCCAGGGGGGGGGGGGAAATTCGGGTCGCAGTTCAATGTGGAGTACTGACGTACCTATCCCGAAGTTAGTATTAATGTTAGTATGTTAGTCATCACATAACGGATGTCCCGTAATTGTCAAAGACATACAAGACTTTAAGTCTTGTTAAGGAACTCATGTTAAATGTAAAACATGGAATTGTAAATCATCTAAAGTTAATGACTACTAAAGCCTACAATGTACTCCTTGACTGGTGTCGCGATGACGTGTAACGGTTATGTTACTAAGTCTTAAAGTTTTGCAAACTCATAGATGCTCTAGATGGAATAATGTTATAGGTGATAGCCTACACAAACAAATTAAGGATTAAATTATACAGTTTAAGGTAACTGAGAATCCACTGTGAGGTGAATGTCTTGGGTCATTGTGACTTGTAACTGATTTGTTACTTGACATCACAACACAGCATCATCATGGTTACTCAAATTGGATGGGAAATTATTTGCTCTTAGTCAGAGCTATAATAGGCTTGTAGTTTCCGTTTGCATTGTTGAGCAGCTGCTCTAGGTGGGCGGGTGCTCGGTGGATCAGAATTGTTGTCCTCGGAAACTGTAGGTGAAGCTGGTTCTGTTAAACACTCTCGTTCTGCTAATTCGAGAGGTACCAACTTCTCTAATGTTTTTAGGGTAGTAGTGCCCCGGCACAAAACCCGTACTATCAGGATGCCTTGGTGATCTGGGTGGATAGAGACAATTTTGCCTATAGGCCATTCTGACCTGGGTCCATCACTGTCAACCAGTACTAGGTCTCCTGGTTTGAATTGAACTTTATTATAGGGGCTCGAAGATTCATAGTGGTACTCTCGTAGAGCTGTGACGTACTCTCGAGTGCACACCTCATTCCACCTTTCAATTACTCGAGAGAGATGGTGGTAACTTTCCACTAAGTCACTCCTAGTAACATGGGAAGGGTCGACAGAATCCTCTTCTGCCAAAGGTATCAGAGGGCTCAGCAGGCCTCCATGTATTAAATGTGAGGGACTCAGGGGTTCTCTCTGTGAGAAGTCATCTGATAGGTAAGTTAATGGGCGATTGTTGACTCGCGCCTCAATTTCCACGACGAGTGTTTGGAGTTCAGAGAAACTAATTTTCTGTCGATGCAAGGTCTTCCTTAAACATTTCTTGACAGTCCCTATCATACGTTCGTAGAACCCACCTTGCCAGGAGGCTCTGGGAGCAATAAATTTCCAGTGGCATTGTCGTCTCTGCATGACAGACTGCACTTCTGGATGATTCCATATCTCTCGTAGGCAGGCTTCTCCTGCCACAAAATTTGAACCATTATCAGATATCATTAGTTTGGGACAGGATCTGCGAGCTGCAAATCAACGAAAAGCTTGGATGAAGTTTCGGCACTCATGTC